GAAACTCCGTCTCAAAAAAAAAAAAAAAAAAAACAAAAAACTTTGAAAGAGGAAAAGAAACTAACATTTAGTGGGCAGGCCCTGGCAGTGTTCTAGGTACTTACACGTGTGCCATTCTCTTTCCTTTATCTTTCTTTTCTGACTCTCAGATATTTAATTTAGTCCACCTGACAATTCTGTGAAATACATATGTTATGTCCACTTTGCAGATAAGGAGACTGAGATGTAGAGATGCTGAAATACCTTGCTCATAGTTACACAGTGAACTTGGATTTGAACTCAAGTCCTTCTATGCACAGAGTCTACAACACCACCATGTAATCCTGGGAGGCCAGAGAGGATAGAATGGTATAAGTTAGCATAAGAACTTCTGCCAGCAAGGCCAGCTGCCAGAGATCTAATTCTAACTTTTACATGTTAGTTCCCAAATGTTAATGTATGACCTTAGCACCTTAGTTAATTTGCTTACCCTCTCTGCACCTTAGTTTCCTCATGTCTAAAGTGGAAATAATAATACCTCAAAAAGTTGTTGTGAGATGAAATTAGATAATATATTTTAAAAACACAGATGCTCACGCCGGGCATGGTGGCTCACACCTATAATTCCAGCACTTTGGGAGGCTGAGGTGGAAGGATCGCTTGAATCCAAGAGGCAGAGGTTGCAGTGAGCCGAGATCATGCCACTACACTCCAGCCTGGGCAACAGAGGGAGACTCTGTCTCAAAAAAAAAAAGAAAAAGGGAATTAATGTACCCCCAAAATCATTAAATATAAACAGAGGCAAATAGAATGTCATTTGATATACTAAAAAATACAAACCTATTTCTTTTTTAATTCCCTCGGTCTTTTCATTCACCCTTTCATCTTTTATTTACTTATTTATTTTTTAGAGACAGGCTCTTGCTCTGTTACCCAGGCTAGAGTGCAGTGGCACAATCATAGCTCACTGTAACCTCAAACTCCTGGATTCAAGGGATCCTGCCACCTCAGTTTCCTCAGTAGCTAGGACTACAGGCACACACTACCACATCTAGCTGGATTGCGGTGGTGTGATCTCAACTCACTGCAACCTCTGCCTCCCGGGTTTAAGCCATTCTTCTTCCTCAGCGTGCTGAGTGGCTGGGAATACAGCTACTATGGTAGCCCACCACCATGCCCAGCTAATTTTTTTTTTTTCGAGATGGAGTTTTGCTCTTGTCACCCAGTATGGAATGCAATAGCACAATCTTGATTCGCTGCAACCTCTGCCTCCTGGGTCCCAGCGATTCTCTTGCCTCAGCCTCCCGAGTTCAGCTGAGATTATAGGCACCTGCCACCAAGCCCGGCTAAATTTTGTATTTTTAGTAGAGACAGGGTTTCACTATGCTGGCCAGGCTGGTCTCAAAGGCCTGACCTCAGGTGATCCACCCGCCTCAGCCTCCCAGAGTGCTGGGATTACAGGCATGAGCCCCCACACCCGGACAACTCTGCCTCTTAATGGGAGGATCTGCCTTGTCACATTGCAGGGTCATGAACGGAGGGAGAATATCTGTGCCCATTTTTACAATCTGCTGCACTGTCATATTTTCCTTCCTTGCAAGCTTTTCTGACTATAGACTTGCTGCTCCAACCTATCCCACTTCATGCCACCACATTCATTTTCCCTACACGCTGCCTGCATCATCTTACATCCTGGTTCACAAACCCTTAGAGGTGGCCTCTTTTCCTCCCTTGTGTGCTGTAAACTCTTAGCCCACCTTCAAAGGTCTCTTTAAGTTAGCCTGACCTAAAAGCAGAGGCTGTGCTATACAGTAAAAAAGGACTAGTATAGTCAGGGGAGGCTGCCAACAAATTTTACAACCTCTCCGGGCTTCTATTTCTCCTGTAAAATGAGAGGTTGGGCTAAATCTGTCAGGTTCTTTTCAAATTTATTATTTATTTATTTATTTATTTATTTAATTTTTTTTTTTTTT